GCCACAAGTACTCCTTTTCTTGTTACGGATACAGACTAACACAGCTGCTACTCTGAAAATAGAGATTATCATTGTAGGTAACTTGAAGGACCTCAAATGACCATCTCTCACTGAGGGAGGTGTCTCAATCCTCCGAGTTACACTTCCCAGGAGTGAAACAGTCACTCTCAAGGGTCAAACTCCTGAAAGCAGGGATAACACTTTCCCATCACCTGGCACAAGTCTATGGAACACACTTCTGGAAGAGGTATGAATGACCACAAACCTCACTGTCTTCTAAAAGGTGTGCAAGACTTATCTCTTTAGCCTAGCCTTCCCCCAATATCTGCAACCAACCACTAAAGAGACTGAAGTGGGTAAAGAGAGGCACATGTGTGCGTATGTACACACACATACACACTACCTAGCAACCACTTAGGGAGGCGGAAGAACGTCAGCTGGTTGGACCCGGGCTTGCCTTGGTCCTTTTTGCAAGGCATCCAGAGACTATCAGCCAACCATCACCATAAAAACCTATGCAGGGAGAGACAATCTGAAGCTCTGATTGCTGAGCAAAAGCATGTTTACATTTCACAACTTGCAGCTATTTGGCTCAACACCTCTGGAACAGCCTGTCCTATACACAGTAGGGAATTCCACAGGAGGCAGGCCTCCTTTCAAACTTTTAAGGAGCGATGCACTTCCTAACATGCTTCAGAGAACGGCTCCCACACACATCTTAAAAGGCATGCTGGAGTCCTCCTTTAATCCTCTGGCACCACAAGAGGTTTGAGCGAAGGAATCAAGCCAAGGAATCCTATGGAGATCTTGCCTCTGCCGAACTGCACATACTAGGTATGTCTAAACTGCAACAAGAGACCTGCAGCATAACCACAGTTAGCCCGCAGAAGACTTGGGCTCAAGGGAATGAAGCTGCAGGGCTACAAAATTGAAGGGTAGACACTTAGGCTGAAGCCCAGGCTCTGAGATCTTCCCCAAATGTGGGATCTGGGCTTCCACCCCAGTGTCTACACCGCTATTTTTAGCTCCAGAGCCCAAGCCTAAGTCAGCTGACCCAGGCTCTGACATTCAATGTCACTGTTTTTGTTTTCTTTTAAACTATTGCAGCATGTTTAAATGCAGCGTAAACATACCCTTAATGTTTCAGTCTACAGCTTAAGCACAGCCTTCCTTAGCTATACACCAGTGGTTTTCAACCTTTTTAGGGGTTTGCAAATGAAAAAAAAAAATTCAAATGGATATGCAGATCCCTTTGGCAATCTTAGGCATAGTCTGTGGACCACTAGGGGTCTGCAGACCCCAGGCTGAAAACCATTATCGCCTTAGTGAAAGAGTTACACATAATATACTGCACTTGAGCAAAACCTGATTTTCAAAGGCTCACAGTTAAGAACCAGTTCTTACTAGAACACCCAAAGTAATCACTCAGTCTGTTGCAGAACTGGGAAGAAATGCCCTGGTCTTATAATTTCCAGTCCAGGGTCTTAACCATAAGACCACCTTCCTCTTTATATTACAGGTGCTAATCTTTTGGCTAGTGTTCTAGAACTAGAACTAGTGTTCTAGTTATAATCAACTTTCAGAATGCTGCACTGAGTAGAATAGGAGGAAGGGACCTCAAGAAGTCATAAATAGATTTCTTGGCAGTGCTTAAATAGAGCCTCCCTTTAGCCTCAAAGCAGGATTTTAATAGTAGTCTCAGTGAAACTGAAGTCATGAGCGGATTCCACAAAGCTGCCTGTATGTCTATGGCCAGATCATCATTTTGACCTTTCTATTTGCATCTTGTACCCTTATTCTTTGGCCCCAATCCTACAAACCACTTGGAGCAGCTGGACCCTCTATCCATGTGGAGCCCCATAGGCAGTGGTGAGCTGGAGCCAGGTTCTCACCGGTTCGCTAGAACCAGTTGTTAAATTTAGAAGCCCTTTTAGAACCGATTGTTCCGCGAGGGACAACCGGTTCTAAGAGGGCTTCTAAATTTAACCAGCCAAAAGCGGCACCTTAGGCGCCGACTCTACAGGTGCCCCAGCCCTGTGCAGAGCACCCACCAGCAGCTCCCCACCCCACCCCCAGCCCCAGCTCACCGCCGCTCTGCCTCCGCCTCCTCCCCTGAACGCGCCACCCCAAATCAGCTGTTCGCGTGGGAAGCCAGGGCAGGCTGAGAAGCAGGCAGAGGCTTCCCGCTCAGGCCCAGGGAGGTGGAGGTGAGCTGGGTGGGGGGTGCGTGAGGAGGGCTGCCCACGCCGCAGCACGTAACCCAGGGGGGGGAGGGGCGCGCAGGGGAACCACTCCCCGCCCCAGCTCACCTCTGCCACCCTCGGCCTGAGTGGGAAGCTGTGGCCTGCTTCTCAGTCCTCCCAGGCTTCCCACCTAACAGCTGATTCACGGGAAGCCGGGAGGGTGGGCAGGGGGGCAGCACGGAGAAGCAGAGCAGGATGGTGGGTTCAGGGGAGGGGGCGGAGCGGAGGTGAGCTGGGGCAGGACAGGGAGCTGCCGGTGGGTGCTCTGCACCCACCAAATTTTCCCCGTGGGTGCTCCAGCCCCCGAGCACCCAGGGAGTCGGTGCCTGAGGCGCCACTTTTGATGTGATCAGTAGGGGAGCGGCTGCTCCGCCACCCCTAGGAGCCAGAGGGACCTGCCAGATGCTTCCTGGGAGCTGCCCCAGGTAAGCACCACCGGGACTCCCCACCTCACCCCCCCGGCAGGTGCCTCTAGCTCTTAGGGGTGGGGTGGGCACCCACTACGGTGGCCCACGAGACCCTCCTGCCCGGTTCTGGGGGCAGTCAGGGGACTGGGGAGGGGGGTGGATGGCGCAGGGGTCTTGGGGGGGGCGTCAAGGAACGCAGGGGGATTGCATGGGGCAGGAGTCCCGGGGGGTGGGGGTGGGCAACAACCCCCTCATAGGGTAAGGAGGGAACCTGTTGTTAAGATTTTGGCAGCTCATCACTGCCCATAGGCATAGGGTTTGACCACACAAAGCAGCCTGCAGTATCAAGCCATAGGTTGTCAGCTCTTTGAGTCAGGGACCATGCCTCCTTTATGTTTATACAATGCCCAATATCTTGTGAGCCTTACCAATAATAAACAAGCCACAAGGCATCCATTTTTGTAGAATCAACATTGCTTTCTACAAGGCCAGTTTTGCTGGCCTATGTCCAATCAAAGAACTGAGAATATGTTGGCTGCATCTGCACCTGAAAACAGGTTACATGTAGCTACTATAAAATATGGGAACCAAAACAGGACCAAAATATATATAAGTGGGAGAGGGACTGATGAACAAATATAAAACAACCTGACAGCACAAAAACAAAATGTAAAACCAAGAAAACTATGTTAGAAAGATCCATCAAATAGTTATAACTGTTATTTAACATTGAACTTTTTAACATTGATGCACATGGCATCTGTACAGTATAAGATACTTGTTATCTACCCTATTGAACTTAAAATCAAAAGGCACAGGTTGTGAAATCCTTCTGATATCAGGATGTGCTGAAAGGCAATAAAGAAAGGGAAAGGGAAAACTCTTGGGAGGACATTATACAGAGAGCTTGAAAACACACAATCTGTTCATGTTGTGTGCTTAATTTCCTTATTGGCTTTTTAATTAACAGTTTTTATGAGAGTGGAAACTGAGCGCCTGGGCTGAATTTAATTGATAAAGTAAGACAGTCAGCTCTGAAGAGGGATTTGAAGAGGGGAAGCTAGCCTGATACACAGAGAAGAAAACTTACAGAAGGCCTAAGCAGCTTGCAAATTCAGGAGCAGGAGGAGACAGAGGAACAGTAACACTTTCTTGTAAACTGTTGCAATCCTTGTCCTCTCTCACCCCCATCCCCTCATTTTATTTGTTACCCTTATTCATTCTGTTCTTTCTAAATAGTGCAGTCTCTTATTTGTTCTGTAGAATACCTAGCAAGCTTGTGATGCTATAAAAGTAACAACATGAACAAATTAGACATCATACTAGAATAAATCTAGAAAGAGAATTATTAGCCCTGTATTGGTGGGCATGTATTTAAAACAGACTGAAAACTAGACTGAAACCTCTTACAGAAGTTTCCATAACTATCTCCATTAGATCTTCACGTGTCCACCGATGAGAACTCAGACACTAGAGAGATGGACAAGTCTTGCAGATTAACTTTTCTGCCCTAATGTCAAAATGTTTAAATAGCTGGCCTTTTTCAAAAGGTATGAGTGTGACTTTTTTAGTTCCCTGCACATTTGTGAAGCATCTAGCAGTTGGTTGGCACTAATAAGGAATATAGAAATGTTTTCAAAAGACCTCTTCCCCGTTTTTTCCACAGCTATGCAGGGCACAAACATCAGCATTATCTGGTCAGAGGCAGGTTATCGCCAGCCTTCAGCTTCTTTCAAAAGGTAGTATAAATAGGGATGTGGGAGAGACTCCTAAATATCCCACCCCTACCTACACTTTCCTGTGACTATCCCACTCTTACTCCACAGCTTTTCCTCACCACCATTACACCAGGACCCCCTCCTCCTCCTCTGGCTTCTACACCATGACCACAGCCCTGCAAGGATCCCAGCATTCTTCCCATAGCCTTACCCCCCATCCCCACACACTCCCTTGAGTCTACCCCAGAGCTTGTCTACACTGGGGCACTTAGGAAAACAATCCAAATTAACTATAACGTGTGTATCCAAAGTGGATTAGTTAAACTGCATTAAACTCCGGTGTGAACACTCTCTTCACCATCAAAGAGGCAGCGATTCCGTTTAGTTGAATCCAGCCACGTGAATGGTGAATACTGGGGTCCACCAAGGGGTTTAACGTAGTTTAATGAATCCACCCCTTTTTAGCTAAATCGGATTAAAATGAGCGTCCCCGGGGCACAAAAGCCCCACTGAGGCACAGGCTGGCGCTACCCCCGCCAGGCTCTACCCCACCGGCTCTTGCGCCCAGCTCTGGATGGGGCAGGGCTCGGCCCCCTGGCGCGGCCCGGGGCACGGCACTACCGGGGGGTTACCTGGCCTCTTGCCCCGCCACTCCGCCCACAGCAGGGTGAGGTCGCCGTCCAGGCCCAGCAGCCAGCGGCCCAGCAGGTAGAGCAGCGCGCAGAGCGCCACGGGCAGCAGGAGGAGCACGGCCCACTCCATGGCCGGAGCGCACTGGCGGGGCCCGCTAAGCCCTGGGGATTTATGAAGGGCCAAGGGCAGCCGCAGCCTGGGCGAGCGCCCCCATTCCCCCCGCCCTGCTCCAGGCCCGCCGCGGCGCAGAGCCCGCCCCCGCCGGGGAGTGGCCGCTGCTGGCCTGGGGGGCAGCCGGGGACAGGCGCTGGGACAGGGCCCGCTGCCCGCGCACGTCGCGGCGGGGTAGGCCGGGGGGGGGGCCCCACCCCAGCCACAAGAGGCGGGGAGCTGGGGCAGCGCCTCTGAAGCGTCCCAGAGACCCGGAGCCCTGGTTGTGTCCTCCACTCTCCCCGCCCCCCGCGGGAGCTGCCCCCACTCCCCTCCTTCCCCCACGGGAGCTCCCCACTGACCCCCTCTCCCCGCCCCGCGGGAGCTGCCCCCCTCCCTACAGACTCCCCCCACGGCAGCTCCCCTCTGCCCCCCGACCCCTGCTCCCCACTGACTCCCCTCCCCCACTCCGAAGCTTCCCCACCTCCCCCTTGACTCCTCCTCTCCCCTCCCTTGCTCACGACCTAGTCCCTCACCTTATTTTAATTTCAGTATCTGCACCCCCCCGTAACTCTCCTCTGAGGCCTTTCCACAGTAACCCCAGCCTCGGAATTCTCACACACTGCTGCCGGGCTCAGCTTCTGGCCAGCAAGTTGTCCTGCCAACCACCTGGAGGCTGAGCCAGCTGATAAATAGTGGGTGAGAGGTCAGTCGCATGCTACAGGATTAGAACTAGGATCGGTAAACGCTAGCCCTGTCCCTGGTGTTAACTTTCCTCTGCCTTGAAGGCTTGCCATAGTGGTAAGTGGAATGGGTCATTTCTATTGTGGGAGAAGGGGGAATTGATTGATATTGTTTACTTGTTCCATAAACAGAAACAGCCTTTGTAAGCCCACAAAGCGTGGGGCTGCCTTCCCTCTCCTCCTTGCCCCTGCTTCTGTTTTACACCTGGAAGTGTAAAGGAGCATACCAGCTTCCATTTTTTGTCTTTTAAAAAGTAAAATAGCCTTGCAACTGCACACTGATCACTAGGGTTAGCAAGTTGGCAATATGTTTTCCTGAAGATCACAGGTTATTCACAGTCCTATTACAGACATTTGAGGCTGGCCTTTAGGATCTAGGAAAAACACAACCATGTCTCCCTTGATGCTGGGGAAGAACCCAGCTTGGTTGGCAGCGATAAGGAGCAGTTCCTTCTGGACTACCACTGATAACAGCACTGCCATCACAAGCTCCCTGAGCCAGCTTTTCTGCTGAGCAGCCATTGTGACATATGATGATGAGGGGCACCTCAACAGAATGAGAGACAGTGTGGACTAAGCAAGGGACTAATTTCATCAATGACACTGAGTCCCTACCTTTCAACAAGTCACATAGATCAAAATTTTCAGACTCAGATGCCTAATGTTAAGCTCCCAAGTCCAGGAGTGCTGAGCACCACAGATTCAATTGACTCCAGAACTTCTAGAAATCAAATCACTTTTATATAGATGCCTGAATATGGATTTAGATGCCTTATCTTATATGCACAAATTTGAAAATTCTAGCTTTAATCTTTCTGTGCCTCCATTTCCAGATCTGGTGAGTGTAACAGCCACCCTTCGTTTGGAGTAAATGTAGGACAAAATTAAACTGCAGGGTGGAACCAGAAAGCTGAAACAATAGCAGCCTCCTGTCAAAACACAGATGCAGGTCATCACCCAAAACAGAAGTACATGCAAGGCACATAGGGGAGGAGGGGTGTCACTGGATATTGTTTGGTGGAGGTACCTGTGTCTGTGGGAAAGAAAGAATCAGGAAAAACACCAGAGAAGTAGAAAGACCAGGAGCAGAAAGCCAAGGAATCAGAACATCCACTGGGATCATGGCCCTGAGAATAAGGTTAGAGAGCTTTTTGCACTGAGTACTGGCTGAAAGAAGTTTAGAATTGTGAGCAAATAAATTATTTCCTGTTTGATTCCTGTGGTGCTCAGGGAAACAGGACTTTGTACACTCTTCATAAATAGGATTGCACCTGGCCAAAGAAATATCTGATTCCAACATCAGTTTCTACTCCTAATCAAAACAACCCACTGGGCTCCAAAAATTGGCTAACCACTTGGGTCAAAAGGGGAAAACAGAGGAATATACGTCAATATTTTTTACTCTTTGTGTAAATAGCCACTATCCTCACTTGGCCATTGAGCTAATCATTATTAGTGGGCTAATTTCTTGTGGACATCACAGTATAAGTGGGTCTTGGAATGGATTTGAAGGAAGATTACCACACTTTTCATATCATAATCATCTCATTCTTACCTTCCCACAACTTTTGTTGTAGCCACCTGTTCTCTCTCATCTTATATTTATGGCTTGTCTACACTACCAAACTTTGTCAACAAAAACTGCCTTTCGTCAACCAAACAGTGAATGCGTACACACTGCAATGTGACTTTTGTTGGGGAAAATGTCCGGTTTTGGTGACAAAATACAACCACCCCAACGAGAGACATACGTCTTTTTCCTCTAAATTTTTCTCAACAATGTGCCAGTGTAGACACCATGCTTGAGTTCATCACTTTAATTGGCCTCCAGTACGTGTTCCACAAGGCCCATGCTGACCGCTCTAGTCAGCAGTTTGAACTCCACTGTCCTGCAGCCAGGTAAACAACCATCCACCCCTCCCCCTTAGAAGTCCTGGAAATTTTTGAAATTCCATTTCCTTCTGGCTCTGCATGGAGAGGTCTTATCGCATCTTCCCAGGTAACCATGGCGGGTTATCACACCAAGTGCTCTCCCACTTGGACCATTGTTGAGCTGTTGGATCTGATCAGTATATGGGGAGAAGAGGCTGTGTAGTCACAGCTGCATTTGAGCCAAAAGAATAGGGATACCTATGGGCACATTTCTCAAAGCTTGTGTGAAAAGGGCTATGATCGGGACACGCTGCAGTGCAGAGCGAAGATAAAGGAGCTGAGATAGGCGTACCATAAGGCGAGGGAAGCAAACCGTCAATCCGATGCTTCACCTAAAACCTGCCAGTTCTATAAGGAGCTGGACACTATCCTCAGTGGCGACCCCACCTCCACTGCCAAGAGCCCAGTGGATACTTCAGCGGACCAGGAGGTAGTGGAAAGAGGACCTAATCCGGAGGACAAAGTTATTGAGGAAGAGGTGGCATTAGATGACAATGTGCAGCTCCCTGTGGGGTCACCCGGTGCGGCAGGCAGCCAGGAGCTGTTCTCCACTCCAGAGGTGTCTAGCCAGTCTCAGCAGTTGTCTCAGGTGAGCATGAAGCAGGAGAGGAGATGCCTGGTAAGTGGCTGTGGTTTGTGTAGTGCAGAGTTGGGTTCAGGGTATAGAAGTGTGGAAGGCTGGCTATGTTTCTGTGAGCTGCACATTTCGCTGTGTAGCTAATCGGTACAGCAGAACAGGGTGTTGATGCAAGCCAAGATCTCATGGGAATCCTCCAGAGAGATCTCCAGGAAAGTTTCCTGGTGGTACTCCGCAATCCTCTGCCAAAGGTTCCATGGCAAAGCAGCTTTGTTCCTTTCCCCATTGTAGGAAACTTTCCTGTGCCATTCGGCAATCACTTGTGCAGGGAACAAAGCTGCAACACGTGAGCAGCATAGGGAACAGGGTGGAAGCCACAAGCATGGAGTAGATGTACCCTCGTTTCCCTGTTTACCCATAGCAGTGAGATATCTGCTAGAATGATCCCCGCCTGTGGAAAAGTGTGGGAGAATTTTAGAAATTTTTTCCAAGCATGCTGCACCACAACCCTTGCTAGCACCAGCAGGAGAGTGAATTTGTGTGGGGGGGTGGAGGGTGAGAAAACCTGGGTTTGTGCTGGAAATGGCCCACCTGTTGATCACTTTAGATAAGCTATTACCAGCAGGACAGTGGGGTGGGAGGAGGTATTGTTTCATATTCTCTGTGTGTATATAAAGTCTGCTGCAGTTTCCATGGTAAACATCTGATGAAGTGAGCTGTAGCTCACGAAAGCTCATGCTCAAATAAATTGGTTAGTCTCTAAGGTGCCACAAGTACTCCTTTTCTTTTTGCGAATACAGACTAACACGGCTGTTCCTCTGAAACTTGCAAAGAGAGTATGCTCTTTTCCCCATGAGGCGTGCCCTTCTTCCCCTCCGCCCCCAAACACTCACCATGCTTTTTGTGTTCACAGAGATGTTTGCCTGGCTAGGGTCAGTGAGGGTGATAGCAATGTTGCAAAACGTTTATTTAATTGAAATTTCAGTGCTGTGTGTGAATTTAAACAATCCTGCTTCTGTGCATTGTCCCATGTGCTTCACCAGATGTGGCCTTCAGGAACACCCCAGGCACCCCAGCTGAGCATCTGAGCCAGATAAGAAAGTACCCACAATGCAGCAAAGAAGACATGTTCTGGGAGGTACTGCAGTGCTCCAATGCAGAAAAAAGGGAACGCAAGGAGTGCTGGGTAGCCAAATGGCAGGACATAAAAGAGAATCAGGAGTTTAAGGATGCAACTGAGCGGATGATTAAAGTAATGGAGGAGCAAACACAGATGCTAAAGTCCTTAAGAATGCTGCAGACTGAGCAGATCCGTGCTCGCCCTCCCCTGCAGCACATTCAGAACTCTTTCCCATGCCCCCCCCCAATTCTGTCCGCACATTCCTTTTGCACCGGGACTTCTCGGTTTCCCATTCACTCTACCCCCTCAGACAACTTACACAATGATAGATGGATCTACACATATCTGTGAATGTCTGTCCTTCCTTGGTTCCTCCTTTCCCACCAACTGTCTTTGTCTGTTTGTGTGTGCTATTTACTGTGCAATAAAAGCAAAGTTTTCAAATGGTAACTGATCTGTATTTGTTCTCTACAAATTGAGATTGCAAGCACTACCAATACATGCACAGGCATTTTAATCATTTGCTTACTGGAATATAAGGCCCCAAATGTCACCATTGCTTCCTAGGAAAACTACATGTAATGTAACATTGAAGCACCAATCGCAGACATATACATTATTTGTTCTCATTTTCAAAGTGTTGCCTCAAAGCCTCCCTGATTCAAATTGCCCCCCTCGGGGCACCTCTGATAGCTCTGGTATCTGGCTGCTGATTTTGATCCGCCAACTGATCTGCCTCAGCACACCAGCCCTGAGCGAACCTTTCATCCTTAGCTTCACAGAGCTTATGCAACATACAGCATGCGGCTATGACCATGGGAATATTATCCTCATTAAGGTCTAAACTGCCATAAAGGCATCGCCAACACGCCTTTAATCTTCCAAAGGCACATTCCACTGTCATCCAGCACCTTCTCAGCCTGTTGTTGAACCGCTCCTTATTGCTGTCCAGGTTTCCCATGTAAGGTTTCATGAGCCACGGCTGTAAGGAGTACACCGGGTCTCCCAGGATCACTATGGGCATTTCAACATCCCCACTGTAAGCTTCTGGTTTGGAAAGAAAGTCCTTGGTTGTAGCTTTCTATACAGTCCAGTGTTGCTGAAGATGTATGCGTCATGCATCCTCCTGGACCATCCCGCATTGATGTCAGTGAAACGCCCACAGTGATCCACAAGTACCTGCAACACCATGGAGAAGTACCCCTTCCTATTGATGTACTCTATCGCAAGATGGTCTGGTGCCAAAATTGGAATGTGTGTGCCATCTATCACCCCTCCACATTTAGGGAAACCCATTTCTGCAAAGCCGTCCACTGTTTCATGCATATTTCCCAGACTCACAGTCCTTCGTAGCAGGATGTGATTAATTGCCCTGCACACTTGGATTAACGCAGCCCCAACAGTCTACTTCCCAACTCCAAATTGATTAGCAATCAACCGGTAGCAATCTGGAGTCGCCAGCTTTCACACAGCGATTGCCACATGCTTCTCTACCAATCAGCACAAGGACACCAGAATGAGAGCTGCCCTTAGTGCTGGGGCAGTGAGCTCTGCACACAACAGTTCCAGGAAGGTGGCTTTCTGCATCCGAAAGTTCTGTAGCCACTGCTCTTCATCCCACACCTGCATGACGATACAATCCCACCATTCAGTGCTTGTTTCCCGAGCCCAAAAGCAATGGTCTACCCTACACACCTGTTCTGTTAATGCCAAAAGTAATCTAAAGTTGCTCTTATCCATATCACACAGAATGTCGGGCACCTGCAAGTCGTCTTCAATAAGGAACTTCACGATTAACTGCACTGCCATCCGCGATATCTTCATGACAGTTAATAGAACATAGGAGAGCAATGCGGGATCCATCCCTTCTCACAAAGATGCCGGGTTGCACAGCAACGAAGGTCCATTGCAAAAATGCTGCAAAAGAAAGCTGGAAACCCATGGAGTGCTGGAACAGCAAGCAATGCATCATGGGACATTGAGCCCAGTCCCAGGATGTGCCGCAATCCACTCCACTTTCTCACAACACCTAGCGACAGAAGGTGTCGAGCTGGATTGTGGGATAGGTACCCACAGTGCATTGCTCACACTGTCAATGATAGTGCCCCCACAATGGATGCACTCTGTCGACAGAGGGAGCAAGTGTGAACATATGATTCCGATTTTTATTATGTTGACTTTTGGTGTCAGATTCACTTTTGTCAACAAAACTTGATGGTGCAGACATGGCCTTAGAGTGAAAACTCACCAGGTTAGGCACTTTCTCTTTGTTCTGTATATAATGTCTAGCACAGTGGGGCCCTCATCAGGCCTCCTAGGTACTATCAGAATACAAATAAAAAAAATAGTAAGAGAAAAGGTGGTTTTATGGTAGCTTGCATAAGAGATGAAATGGGAAAAAAGCAGACAGTTTGGGAGAAACAGACTGACCCTTGCACCAGAATTTGTCAAGGTGTTCGGGGTAGTAATGAAACAAAGAAAACATCTGTGGCATATGGGCTTTGAGGAGAAAATACTGGCTCCCATTCAGTAGCCTGAGGTTCAGTTGAACTGTCTGCAGGTTCGCTACATTACTCCTGGGGGAATTCTGTGCCAAAATATAAAAAATTATCCACACAATATTTTAAAATTCTGCATATTTTATTTGTCAAAACAATATAATCACACCATAATATAATTCCCCTGTTGCGGGAAAAACACCACAGCCACCCAACACTGTAGCATTTATTTTCAGAAGGGGGACTACACAAAAATGAGGCAATTAAACAGAAATTACAGTGCCAAAAGTGAAACCCGTGCAAGCTGCATGGAAACTTTTAAAATACACCATAATGGAGGCTCAACTTAAATGTATACCCCAAATTGAAAAAACCTAGTAAGAGAACCAAAAAAGTACCACCGTGGCTAAACAACAAAGTAAAAGAAGAAGTGAGAGGCAAAAAGGCATCCTTTAAAAAGTGGAAGTTAAATCCTAGTGAGGAAAATAGAAAGGTGCATAAACTCTGGCAACTGAAGTGTAAAAATATAATTAGGAAGGCCAAAAAATAATTTGAAGAACAGCTAGCCAAAAAGTAACAGCAAAATTGTTTAAGAATATCAGAAGCAGTAAGCCTGGTAAACAACCAGTGGGGACACTGTTTTTGGGGAGATTTTGGCAAACCAGTAAAGTGCCTAAACCACTATCACTTGTTGCTAACAGTAGTCAAGTTAGCAGGCCATACTGAACCATTCTTGCTTATTGCTAAAAGTAGCCAAGTCAGCAGGTCGTAAATTGGTCATGCAGAGGCCTCAGCGTAACCAAGACGGGGGGGAGGGGGTCTTGGGTGCCACAGACAGGACAGCTTGACCCCGCTCCCTTCCTGCTAAGAGTGTTGAAATTGCTGATGCATGTATTTTAGAAAAACAAGAAGTCTGTTTATACGTACCCCCGGGAATGTTTGTCAGGACCCAAAGGCATGGACACTCTGAAAAAAAAAAATCTCTGGCTAATTGACGATCATAAGATGTTTGACCTTTTAACCCTGCTTGCTTAGCAAGTTTTCTTTAAGAGATATGTCATTGTATTACTAATGTATAGATAAGGGGGAAAAGTTTGAGGTAATTGGACTTCTCAGGAGAGGCTCTTCAGGGACGCTCCCTCTGGACGCATCTTGGTCCCCACCGACAGATGGAAACCTGGCCTGTAGAAGCCTGTTACGGTGCCACCCAAAAGCCACGCTCAGCTTCAGTAATTATTGAGGGTTGAAGGTGTTTTACTCACCTGCTGCAGACGTGTGTAAGTGTGTAAGACTAAGTAAAGTTTAGCTTTAAGTGAAAGTGTTCTTGTGTTGTCGTGTTTGTGCCAGCCATCTATCGGTCAGACGGCCGTGTCTCCCCTGATTTATTTCCTGACACCGCCTCACACAGAGTAAACGTTACCAAGAGCTTTGGGTTAAAAGAACCCTGGGTAACAACTGGATGATCGAGATGCTAAAGGAGCACTCAAGGACGATAAGACTATTGCTGAGAAACTAAATGAATTTTTTGCATTTGTCTTCACCCGTGAGGATGTGGGGGAGATTCCCAAACCTGAGCCATTCTTTTTAGGTGACAAATCTGAGGAACTGTCCCAGATTGAGGTGTCATTAGAGGTTTTGGAACAAATTGATAAACTAAACAGTAATAAAAGTCACCAGGACCAGATGATATTCACCCAAGAGTTCTGAAGGAACTCAAATGTGAAATTGCAGAACTACTAACTGTAGTCTGTAACCTATAATTTTAATCAGCTTCTGTACCAAATGACTGGAGGATAGCTAATGTGACGCTAATTTTTAAAAAGGGCTCCAGAGGTGATCCTGGCAATTACAGGCCGGTAAGCCTCACTTCGGTACCAGTCAAACTGGTTGAAACTATAGTAAAGAACAAAATTGTCAGACACGTAGATGAACATAAATTTGTTGGGGAAGAGTCAACATGGTTTTTGTAAAGGGAAATCATGCCTCACTAATCTATTAGAATTCTTTGAGGGGGTCAACAAACATGTGGACAAAGGGATCCAGTGGATATAGTGAATTTAGATTTTCAGAAAGCCTTTGACAGATTCCCTCAGTAAAGGCTTTTAAGCAAAGTAAGTGGTCATGGGATAAGAGGGATGGTATTCTCATGGATCAGTAACTGGTTAAAAGATAGGAAACACGGTAGGAATAAATGGTCAGTTCTCAGAATGGAGAGAGGTGAATAGTGGTGTCCATCAGGGGTCTGTACTGGGCCCAGTCCTATTCAGTATATTCATAAATGATCTGGAAAAGGGGGTAAACAGTGAGGTGGCAAAATTTGCAGATGATACAAAACTACTCAAAATAGTTAAGTCCCAGGCGGACTGCAAAGAGTTACAAAAGTATCTCTCAGAACTGGGTGACTGGGCAACAAAATGGCAGATGAAATTCAGTGTTGATAAATGGAAAGTAATGCACATTGGAAAACATAATCCCAACTATACATATAAAATGATGAGGTCTAAATTAGTTGTTACGACTCAAAAAAGAGATCTTGGAGTCATTGTGGCTAGTTCTCTGAAAACATACACTCAGTGTGCAGTGGCAGTCAAAAAAGCAAACAGAATGTTGGGAATTATTAAGAAAGGAATAGATAATAAGACAGAAAATATCATATTGCCTCTGTATAAATCCATGGTACACCCACATCTTGACTACTGCGTGAAGATGTGGTTGCCCCATCTCAAAAAAAGATATATTGGAATTGGAAAAGGTTCAGAAAAGGGCAACAAAAATTATTAGGGGTATGGAATGGGTGCAATATGAGGAGAGATTAATAAGACTGGGACTTTTCAGCTTGGAAAAAAGACGACTGGTATGGAGAAGGTAAAGAAGGAAGTGTTATTTACTCCTTCTTATAACACAAGAACTAGGGGTCACCAAATGAAATTAATAGGCAGCAGGTTTAAAACA